GGAATTATCACTAATATCCATGAGCCTTCCAAGTTGGAAGGTCGTTGGTTAGCGCTATCGAGCGGTACTCAAGTTCACTTCCTTGCCTTGAAATGTCTCAGTACTCCTTGTCAGTCTGGTGCTACCTTGTGCACGTCTGACTGTTCAACACCTGGTGTAGTTGGTGGACTCTATCGCAAAACTTTTGCCCCACCGTTTTCCGTGTTTCAATTTTAATAATTCGCTATAGCGCATTTTTCGCTATAAGTTCACACTGTTTGCTTGGTTCTGTGCTTACGGAGACCTCCGTATAACCGTACATGACTTTGTCGGTCTGGTTGTCTACTCCGCTGTCGTCCCACTGGAATGTACAACGTAACGTGTGGTGGTATCATGACAGGCCGGTCACTAGTAAAACGACACAAGACTGTCATTTTCAAGAGAACGTTCTGCGGATGTCCAAGTCACAATGGAACACCTCGACTGCATGACTTGATTTTTTTGGCAGCAAAACTAGACATAGTCATGCCACTGCAGACGAAACCCGGACAATGATTGTAAACTGCTAGCTCCAAGAACGCATCTGATGCAGCAGCAGGATTCGTAAAATGCAGCCTTCAGTAATACTACTGTCATGGACATGTAAATCCGGTCGCACGTTTAGCGGCCCCAGGGCGCTGGCCATGCAGCCGTGGGTAGGCGGTACATATGCGGTGCAGCACGCTGATCTGATCTGATCTCATCTTATGCGGTGATCACCTGCTAACCTAGCTACAACTTGACAAGCACTTGTTGAAGGTGGAGAAAGGTATCTTCACTGGCTTGAAAAACCAGGAGAAGCAAGTTCTAGATCGATTCGCCGTGCAGGAGCAGAAAGTCAGCAGTCACGTTCAGCGGCATACTTTCCAAGCCGGCTTGCGCATGTTCCAGGCCGTGAACCCTGGAATCACCTGGTTTGAAGCTCAATACAGATGTCGCGTGCTAGGTGGAACTCTGGCTATGCCATCCAATAGCCGTGAGCTGCAGGCTGTCATCCAGCTGGCTGGAAAGCAACGCTTCGACGGCTCCCTCTGGCTTGGCGCTACGGACACGGAGACGAAGGGGAATGGCGTGACGTCTCAGGTAACATTGTTGGATATTTGCCATGGACGCCAAGGCAGCCAGACAATTGGCACAATTCGCTGAGATTACGAGAGGACTGTTTGGAGATGCGCACAAACGGTAAGTATGCCAACCCATTCAACAATTTCCCGTGCCACACTGTGGATCGCGATATCCGAGGATATCTGTGCCGTTTCACATAGAGTAGACGCATTAGTGAAAATAAGCAATATCCATTAGCTGAGGCAAGCACACACAAGGTATAAATTCTGCACTGACACGCTGTCACGTGATTTAGAGGCAAGACAGAAGTTGTTTTAGTCTATACGCTGCATACTAGAGTGACGATTGTAAATCATTATTCTGTATTTCAATCACCTTCACCTACTGTACAATACGTGTAGGTGGTGCGTTTAGATCCTCCCGCATCCAGCTCAGGAAGTTTTCATTTTAACTTGTGCTATGCAGGCTTGCATTCTGCCTGATAATAGTGTGTCTGTATTGGTTGCTACTTCGAAGTATTTGTTTAGGTGACATAACATATGTGACTTTGACTGTATATGTGTTGGGGTTGCGTTTTTTTTTGCACACTTTGCTATAATATGCAAAAAGTAGATTTTGGCTGCACTTTTGCAGTTTCTTTGTAGTTTCATTTATGACATTAGTAGTATACTGTGTTTCCAGCCATTTATCTCCTGTAGTGTAGCAGCCACCTTTAAAAAATGTAGTTTCTTGTAGCTGTTCTGCGCTGCGTCTGCTCTTGTACAATTGTTTTGCTGTTTTTGAATGCATTCCTATTCCATCAATTACTACATGTATCAAGCAAGGTATGAAATGGAAGCAGTATTCCTTCAGTGTTGGGAACCGGAAACCTTTTCCGTGTTTACGCTGGTGGTGACGTCACGTGAGTGATTCACCATGACAACTTTCACATTCCGGCCTTCTTTTTACGCCGGTCTGAACGCGCCCTTACAGGGAATATCCTGGCGTAATGCTGGCCGGTTGCTCTGTAAAGCTGGTTCGTGATGCTGTCACTCGTGATGAAGCCAGCGACAATGGTACGACAGTCGAGTCTCTCAAGGAGATCATGTATCTGATGCTCACAGACGTTATCTACACTTCAATTCCTTGCATAACGTGGGCATCAGTTATGCTGTCTGATCGTCTATGGGATATGATGCTAACCGCATGTACATTTTTTATATATTTTTATTATTATTATTATTACAAACAGCGCTGAGTAATTACACGAATGTATAAAACCATCATTTGCTTCCGGGAAGGATTCACAAAAATAAGATAAAAACACCATGGCTCAATGCAACTGCACATACGAAAAGCTGCTTCTATTGTCAAGTTCAAGTGGCAATGTCAGAAAGACGGTAGACTGTTCATGATGTTCATGTACATACAGAATTTGATACATCCAGAATTTGAAAGTCCTCTCCTATGGGCATGCATGCCATGCGAACAGTCCCTTGAATGTGCCGCTGTATATTTGAAAGTTCAATTGAAGGAGAATTTCGAGCAGAATATTGGTGTTATGGGAGCAGAGTGAAAGGTAGCATAAGCCATTGTCCCGAGCATATGTCGCTGACCGCTATTCATTGCAAAGTAAATGATGTAAAACTAAAAATTCCAGACGACGAATTTCAATACGAAGCTTCACTCTGGAAAATATCTCTATCATTAAACGCGGATAATGAGCCATTAGTTTAGGTAACGTAAAATTCAAGGGAACACGTGACATGGACATGTGGGCATGAGTTATGAAGAAAATTTCCACCCCTGTAACAAGATAACAAGTGTAACAGGTAGCCGAGTGGTAGGCGCGGTGAAATCAACAAGAATTACTTTTATTCTACTTCTTTCAGGTACACACCTGAGATATAATCATTAGTGAAAGAAGAAGCGGCAAAATAACTGACTTTCTCTCCGGTGCACACCTGGAGGTTGAATAGCTCGTTATTATCAAAATCTCATCCTCATCAAAACAGAAATGCGCAGCCGCTTTTATGCAGCAGACGCCGTGCGCTTACATACGGAGATACACTAAATATACATCAGGCAAAGCTCCGTATTAGTTCCGTACTGCTTCCGTATTGGTCGGGCAGGGATACTACACAAGCAAAAGCTGGCCACGAAAACTGACAGGCTTCTGAGACATTCAACTCCCTGACAGCTAGCCATAACACAAACCCAGTGCGCAATCCAACCGCCTGCCAACTGTGAAGGCTCACGGTTAGGTAGGACGAAAGAGGGGACGGTGAGCACAGACAACATGTACGCAAACTAGGGTCCGGCGGATTCTGCCGGCAGAAAAATTGGCAGAATTCGGTACTTTTTCTGGTAAGTTTCATGCATGTTTGGTATGTGGATAAAGAAATGGAGCAGAATTCGAGGAATTGCCCGCCATAAGGTTTGTATGGTTCTGCCAATTTCAGTTCTTTTCGAGCAGAATCCGCCGGTCTCTAACACAAACTAACTCCCAGGGCTACATGTACACGACGCTGACCAGACCAGAGAATGACTTGACCGTGCAGTCTTAGTAAAATTATAATATGAAAAAGCAAAGCAATACACCACCCAATTGGGTGGATCAGGCAATATTGAAGACCGATAAGGAAGGGAATTCTACAAACCCCGGTTCCAGTACTCCTCGGTAGTGAGGGTAGAGATTAGAGATGTAGCGGAAGGAGGTGGCCATACCGGTATTTAATGAAGTTGGTTATGCCAAGAGTGCCGTGCCTATGTTTCGTAAAAGTGCACTGTGCCTACACAGAAGGGGCAACAACAAGAACGCCGGCAACGACGACGACGACGACGACGACAACATGAAAGACAAATGCCATATGGAGCATCTGAATCGGTGCTGGCATTCCGAGTAACGCACAGACTGGATTAGTGAGAAAGGGAGCAACCGAAAAGAAAAAAAGGTAAAACACGGGAAACATGTCCAGAGGTGTTTCGTGAAGTGCTTGGGTTAAGGTGGCAGACTACCCAAAAATTCGCTGAAAAATCGAATTTGTAAATTCATATTGAGTGCTACGTCAGTTGAAAGAGCATGAATAGCTGCAAATTCTCTGAAAATTGTGTCCCTATCTGACCAGCCGTTCAAGAGTTATGGCCGAAAATGTGCCATTGCAAGGAAAGATTTTTTTGTTGCATGCTGTCATTTGTTGGCAGCACTGTATTTGAATGTGAGCAGACCGTGCGCAACTTGTCGTATTATGGAAACACGCGAAAGTGTGCAGAATTTTGCCCCAAGTCCAAAAAAGTCCAAAAAATCACGTTAAAAAACCACGTATTGGGCTGCACGGCGGCGGGCGAAGCCCGCCGCCGTGCAGCAGGACTTTTGCCAGCACCCTCGTGACGTTGCAGATATGTGGCTTGATTATTGTAGTTGACGTTGATTTAGTGACTTTGGCAAGTTTGAGTCGTGTCAAGAAGTCAGGTAGGATTCAGTACTAGGCAGTAGTGAAACGTGAGTGGCAGTCTTTGCCGGTTTCTGAGGGTATCCTGGATTTGGTGTGCAGCGCTGTGGAAATGGCTTGCTGTGGAGGTCCCAGCACTGGATGTTGTATCAAAGGTACGACCTCGTAGCACGTGCTAAACCTAAAAAAATTCAAAAATTGACTTGGGTCTGTGGGAGTGTGTGAGAGAACGCCCACTCGTTCCGTTGTGACAGATTCCAGGGCCTCGTTGAGGGGCCCTACCCCATCACCCATGGCTGCTTCTGGACTTGTTCTAGGTTTGAGTCCCGCGCACGAACAGAATGAGCACGAAAATGTGAAAAAATTGTAAATGCATTTGTTTGGCTCCTGGGTGGCTCGCACACCGTGGCACTATGCCGGAAATTTGAGTTTTTCCGGTCTGGAAAGCCTGTCAGTGAGGCGCAAGAACTTGTAAATCATGTCCTGAGGGCCAGCATAGTGGCAGGAGTGTGTGGTCAAAATTTCACTCAAATCCATTGAGAAACACCAAAGTTACGGTCAATTGAATGCCATATGAAATTTATGGGTAGGCTGGCCCCTGAAAGGCTGAATTCAGTGCCGTGTACACAGTAGGCGTGGTGATCGTGATGAGAATGTAGAATGGAGCAGCGTGGAGATTGGGAATAGTGTATACGGATTATGTATGAGAGTAGGTTGATACATTTGTGGTTAGAGGCGGCGATGGTTGCATACACTCATATTATGTATGAGAGGAGGTTTAGATAGGGTAAAAGATGGTTATCGCTGGATACGCAGTAGATCTACGAGTAATTCTTTCTGCAATCAAGGGAAACGACAAATGAAAGGGCGGCGGTGTCCACACTCCATATCAACCCATGGTTGTCCATCGCCTCGCATAGCTGCGCAATCCTCTACTCCGCCATGGTTATTTGGCTCATCGTGACCCCATCGCGAGTATGTCAGCGCATTGCCTGCCTGATTTCTCCATCGTCCTTCATAAAGGAGATCTGATGCACCGATCCAAATATGCCCGTTGTAACGCTGCTGTTGAGCTAATCGACGAACCTCAGAGTGCTCCCTGGAGCTCTTAGGCACAGCCAGCACGCCGCCAAGCACTATGCATTTGGCTCTAGCTGCAAACCATGACACGTGGTCAGATAACAGCCAAATCCCCGCTGGAAACCTCCGCTGTCCATGCTCCGTAAGGACACGTGACTGCAAGCTCTGCAAACGGGTTAGAATGGCATTCTCATGCTTGGAAAAACGCGAATTGATTACTTCCTTTTGTCTGGCAAATTGTGAAAGAATGGCACTTGTTTGTTCGGCAAATCTTGAAAGAATGAGTTCTTGCTGCTTGGCAAAGCGTTCGTCCAACTCCCGACTTGTGAAAAGGTGATCCTGGCACGTCTTGCCCACGTAGCCTCTTGCGCAATCACAGATGTATTTTGCTAGCAAGCTACGGCACTTGCCTCCATGAGCACATGGGTTCTGTGGCCTGCAGTGATTTCTAGCTGCTTGACACTGCCCTCCAATGTAATTCTCTCGACATTGGCAGCGGTAGTATGGAGCAGTGGAAAGACGAACACACGTGCCTCCGTTATGGCATATCGGAGTGCTCCCACCAACAGCACACGCATCAGATTCACACTCTGTTCCTTTGAAACCAGCCTTACAGGCACATCCATACACACGGGGGTTACCGTTGCGCCTTGGTTGAAGTAGGCACTGGCCGTTTGCATGACAGTGTTCAAATGACGCACATGATTGAATTCGGCCGGAGAAACAGTTTGACAGCTTCAGCGCATCACCTGTTCTATTTACACCAAATGATGACAAAATGGATGGCGGAATAGCGGCGATGTGCTCAGCGGGAATATCTCGCTGTGCGAATCCCGCTTCGTATCTTGCAGCTCTTGCTCTGGTGATGCCGGCTTGATGCAAGTATGTAGCAACGCAAGATCCGTGTTGCCCCCTCGCCTTGACTGACACAAGCATGCTGCTCAACCCACAGAGCAGGTATATGGCGACGTACATCTGACTGAAGGGCGACATTATTCTAGAAAGATGGACGAAGATGACTTTCACTTGCTGCAAGCTACAAGCTCTCGCCTTGAAATAATCTAACTTTGAACTTTCAACGGTTATAATAATTATAATTATTATGTTCACTGTCTGCAAGCTAACGTTAGCCGTGCAAGAATCGGATTCACGGGCCAGACCGGGGCGGCAGTTCAGGCGAAAACAGATGTAGATCGTATCCGAGTACTAGTAGACAGGTCCCTGTGTTGCCACGATTCTTCAAAATGAATCAGTCACATATGCTGCTTATCATTGCTGAAGGGTAGCAATAACTGGCATGATACTGTATGTGTCAGTGCTTGTGAAATGGCAGATGTCTGCTGGCCTACCGACGCTGTCCGAAATCACCCCATTGTCACTACTAAGTCTTGTATTTTCGCATCGAATCAATGAATGAAATCCTGTGTCATGTGACTCCATCAATCATGTTGACCTTACATAGTCATTGCCCATATTGTAAACCAGGGAGTCGTAATTAATACATATTTTACGACTCCATACTGCAAACACATTCCAGTGTGCTGAACAACATTGTCAACAAAATGACGCTCCGTGTTTGCTCTGTGTTTGATAGATTTAAACGCAACTCAGCAGGCTGTAGGTTAGACTGAAAATTGTTGTGAATCTGTATCATTCCTGTTACGATGGTCCGAAGCAATTGGCTGTGTTGTGGTTGACCGAACTCTTTAGTGCTACTGTTTGGATTTTCTCACACTATCAGTCTAGAGACCTCTATTTACATTGTAGATATGTGGTAGAGCAAGTCACCACCGAGCATCCTTTGATTTGCATCTGGCTGCAAACCACCTAACTGGACAAATCACGGAAACCTCGAACCTGCTAGGGCCATGCTATTTCGGTCATGGGTTAGCAGTCTCTCTTGCACAGTAGACCAACGATCGGGAATGGTGTTTTGCAGATTGGAATGTGCGTGTAATAATACTCTTGCCCTTGTTGTCAAGGCCTGAAGGAATAGTGTATTCCTGCATGCCAAAGCATTCGTCCAACTCTTGACCTGTGATCAGGTGATCATGACAGGTTTGCCCACGAATCATCTAGCACAGTCGCAGGTGAGTCCTGCTGTCACGCTACGACATCTGCCCCCATGGGCACAGGGGTTCTGTGGCCCGCAGTGATCTCGTGCAGACTGGCAGTTTTCAACAACTTTAATATGTACAATGTATATTATACAAAGCTTCTAACACAGCCAAATGCAACGCACATCTACCACGTGACAATATTGAGAAAACATTATCAGTGTACGACTCACGACAATAAGTGATATGGGCTGACAGATGTTGCGTGATTGACGATGTGCGATTCTTTGCTTTCTGACGGAGCTAAGAATCGTACTACGTCAATCAAGCAACATCTATCAACCCGTACCAATTGTCCTGAGTTGTACACTGATAATGTTTTCTCACTCTTGTCACGTGGTAGATGTTGTTGTATACTGTATTTATAGTCGAAATCAAAACAGTTGTGTGTTGCATTTGGCTGTGTGAAGCTTTGTACTGACGTAAGTTGGATACTGAACTTTGTGTACAGAAAGAAAATGTGTTGTATCTACAATTGTTTGGTGTTATTCCTCGTTGAGATGTTAACAATGTAACGTAATTTGCCCACTATGTTGTTGATAAATATGGCGGTAAACACACGCCTGCCCACACACGCTCTCTAAGCTGCAAAGTTCTGGCACAGAGCTCTCCTTCTCACCACTACCACCATCAGTTCGCGCCTAGCGCCTCGTCGATGCATGGTTGGCGGTATCCGACATAGCAGGCTGGTACATCAAGTAGCGCATGGCACATTGAAGATGACATAGCAACGACGTGTTCATTTCTCGTTGGCTGAACGCAGCGAAATAAACGAGAAATAATGTTCTTTGTAGATTTTTGCACGTGGTCACCGATGGGTGCGAGGGCACCGCGGCCGCTGGAAAAGCGTGCTGGCGCAGAGTGCTGTTCATTATTTTTCTTCTTGCCAGACAGAAAGTTGCCAGTCTCGGCCAGGAATTTCGATTATTTTGTAATATTTGCCGGATACAGAATGGGTCGACGTGGACGTGTTGCAAGCGCCGGGCAGGTGGCCTCTGGCAGAGGCAGAGGTAGTGGTAGGAGGAGAGGTGACTTGTCTGTGTTCGAGTTTCCCAACTCTGACATAGTTGGAAACACCTCGTCGGAATACGAGACTGCAGTAGAAGAGCAAGTCCCCCGCGAAGCTGAGACGCAGGCTCCGGCGTCACCGATTAATAGAATGCCGCATTCCCAGCTCATGGCGGAGAGGGAGCTGCTGGGGATGAAAATCCGGATGCTCGAAAGGAGTGTCAGTGAGCTGACAGCCCGTGGCAGATCCCTGAAAAGGAAACGACCAAGGGATTCAGCACAGTCAGGGTCGCCATCATCATCATCGTCACGATCTTCCTCCTCGGACTCGTCACGATCCCGGTCGAGGTCGCCAAAGCGGAAAGCAAGGTCTGCCGCCGGCGACGTCGCGAGCTGGAAGACGACAAGCTACGCGAAACAATTCGAGCTGAATGCCGAGCTCCTGGATCTGCTGCACGATGTGAGGTCGGCAAAGTCCAAGAAGAGGAGAAGGAAGGCAGCGAAAAAAGGTGAGAGGTTGCTGAAGGAGAGGCAAGAGTGGCTTGTGATTGCGGAGAAGCACGGCCATCAGGTGGCAACATCCTTTCAGGAAGGGGATCAGCTGATGGCACTAGTTGGGGGAGCCAAAAAGCAGAAACGTCTGCAGGCTGCGATCCAGGCTGAAGGGTCTAAGAAGAAGGTAGCCGGGGTGGTGCGGGGCCCAACCATGCCAAACCCAATCCATACCATGCAGGGGGCCGTGATGCCACTTAGCCACCCACCTCTAGCTATGCATGCGCCGATGGGCAATTTCCGCTCGGGTGTGTGCCACCGGTGTGGGCAGCCGGGTCATTATGTCAAGTTCTGTCCCCAGCGGGCTAACACCGCAGGCATACCAGGTCAGCAAGCCATGCCACGTTGACATTACTGTGGGCTGGGGGGTCTCATGTTGGTAGAATTGCTTTAGCTTATTTGGCATCCAGTGCAATCAGTGAGAGAGTTGCATTATTTATTTATTTGTTTCTGTTTATATAAGCACGTTGTGCTTCAGTTCCAGGGCCCCGAGCGGTCGAGGGCTTGGTTGTTGCGGGTTAACAGGGGGGAGGGGTTTAAAGTCGTTGCAGCTGGGCAACTGTGCTTAGTTGGTGTCGTGTGCATTAGTGAGATAATCGTTCATATTTTAATATTAAAATCGATTAAAGTTAATTGCAGTGACTGCCAGGCTTGCGATGGTACGAGACAAGGCTCTACCGGTTGGTGTTTGCTGTACTCACTTTATGTAGGAACATTTACTGCCATGTTGCTCTGTTGCTCTGGTGTTGTGTGGTGCATGCTGTAGGTGGCACCGGGTGCCGCGTTGTTGGGATCCAGGATCCGAGATAGGCAACTGTTGCCGTATCGCTGCTGCTGGTGTCGAGGTGGTGGGCATGGCTGCGTGATGGAAGACACTAGGTGTCACGCTGAGAAAGTGGGAGCCAGTATCCTAAACGCTCCAGCTGGTAGAGATCATGCCAGGTTTTCACAGTGACGGCTATGCTTTGTCTGTCTTGTGCAGTATGCCTGCACACCCCGCATTTCGTTGTGTGTGCAGTGGTGGATGATGGGCATGAGCAAAATAGACAAAGAAGTGTTCATTTCTCGTTGGCTGAACGCAGCGAAATAAACGAGAAATAATGTTCTTTGTAGATTTTTGCACGTGGTCACCGATGGGTGCGAGGGCACCGCGGCCGCTGGAAAAGCGTGCTGGCGCAGAGTGCTGTTCATTATTTTTCTTCTTGCCAGACAGAAAGTTGCCCACCCACCCACCCTGCTGTTCTATTGGTACCATACGTCAAACCGTCATTGCTAAAAATGATGCTGCTGCTGGCTCTGTGTATATGATTGTTCTTCATATGCACTGGCAGTATAGCCGCTGTTACAAATAGTATGCTGTTGCACGTGTGGTTGACTCTGGATAGCCGTTGCACATGCTCTAGTTGCTTATTGGTCCATAGGGATGCGGCTGCTGGTTGTTGTTTGCTTGTTTGTTGCGGAAGCCAGTGTTTGATGCTGTTGCTGTTGCGAGTTTTTCACAAAATGTTTTCTTGGGCAAGAAGATCTTGTGCAGTATGCTCTAGTTGCTTATTGGTCCATAGGGATGCGGCTGCTGGTTGTTGTTTGCTTGTTTGTTGCGGAAGCCAGTGTCTGATGCTGTTGCTGTTGCGAGTTTTTCACAAAATGTTTTCTTGGGCAAGAAGATCTTGTGCAGTATGCCTGCACACCCCGCATTTCGTTGTGTGTGCAGTGGTGGATGATGGGCATGAGCAAAATAGACAAAGAAATTAGACATCCTTAGCAAAAGTACGATAACGCTAACTTGTACGGTACTCACTCCCAGCCGTGACAAAAGACGTTATCGGATAACGGAAAAACGTTACAGAGCTCAAAATAACGGGCCGACGTTCGTTATGGAAATTCTGCAAAAAATGCAAAAACTCCATTGTTTTGTAACTGGCGGGAGATAAAAAGCACGTCGTGCAGATCGAGATGAGATCAAGAGTCAAGATTGCTTCCTCTTGTGACATTTAGCTTTTTTGGCGAGTTTTGCCTTTCAGTTGACAATTTCTGCGTCCTCTGCTTCGTGCCTTTCTCCCTCTATCCCATCTGGGAAACAAAGGACCAGTTCCACGGCACTCCTGAGGAAGAAATTCATCGACCTCTCCCAGACGTGCTGGAGCTGGAGAACCCTTACAGTCTTCGGTGCTGCGTTTAGGAAAGGGTTTCCAAGGACCTGGGAACAGCGAAAACTCATTTTCGCCGTGCTTTTGCTATTCCAGAGTAAAAGACCTCGCCAAGGTATTCTTTCGGAACGACAGCAAACTATTAAATCCCTGGTTCAAAATTTTGAATTTCCCGCATCTGTTTCCTCGAAAATTCATATCGCCATGGTTGTCACGACTA